TATCATTATTCACTGAAAAGTACGGTAAGCCCAGCTTTGCTGATCTGTCCTCAGGCATTCACGCAAATAAGCCATGGCTACTCCGGCACCCAGGCCCAGCCTCTGTAATGACCCCTCCCAGCTCTGACCCCAGACTGTTTCCCAGAATCAGGCCCCCAAGGGATCTATCCGGACCCCTCTTTCAAGGCACAGACCTGAGTTGGGGGTCCCCCGTTGTCCTTCATGTACCCAAGCTGGCCAGTCCTGTAGCCTCCTTCAGAGACAGAACCAGCTTGTCCAGAGTGCCACGCTGACAAGGCCAAGGCCACGCTGCTTGCTGCCAACGGCAGGTCCAGGATTCAATACCAGACCCCAAGCCCCAGGCCCTTTCCTCTGTTCCCCAATGCTGCTCCCGGGGCCTTTAAAACACAAAGCAGGAACACTTCTCCGGAAGGAAGTCAGACTGGCTTGTTGGACGCCCAGGCAGCGCCAGGCCAGCTGGAGGGATACAGGTGTGCCTTTCTGGCAGGTCCCCAAAGTCGCTCTGCCTTTGAAGGGAGACGACTGGCCACACATTAGACACTGGACACAGGAAATAGAATCTGTCCTTGATGATAGACGGATCCAAGGAGAAACCACTTAGAAGGTGACTGAGGAAAGACCTCAGGGGGAAGGTGATATCTGGGGAGGCCGCTGCATGTAATTTTAAGGGGTGGAGAATCAAAAGGCAATCTGAGATGAAACGCAGCAGGGGACTCAGGATCCCGCCCAGGTGCATCAGAGGTGGGTAGGGAGCCATTCTGGGGATGTCTGGAAACTTCTCTGGACAGATGCTCAGGAGTGTCTGCTCTGGTGAGTGCTGAGTGGAAGCTGCAGGACTCACTTCCCACCAGCCTCTCAGCATCAGTAAGGACTCTGATTAGCGAGAAAATGCCTCTTGCTCTCAAGAAGAAGTGGTTCTCCATTCTGAGAGTCATTCCAGACTATGCCAGACAACTCCCTCCAAGAAAACCAGCCTCCACTAGCAGGTGGCGAAGCTGAGGACACCTAAGGGGTCCCTTCATCACTAACTGCACTCAAACTCCAGGGGAAACAAGGAAACTCAAACTGCTTCCTCTGGGTACCAGAGGAACAAAGCATGACTGTCTGATGGTAGATGCCAGCCCAGAAACGTTCTGATGCGCTCCCTGCTCGCCCCGGGTTGCAGCAGAGAAGTCTTTGCGTCATAGGAGCCAGTAAACACATTCAAGAGACTCAACCCCAGCTCTCTGGCAAAACTCACGTTTCCACCCTTGCTCTAGAATGGGCTATTCCAGACAAAGGAATTTTCCCAATAAGAAAAAGCTCGTCAACTGTCATTAGCAAACAAACAAACAAACAAAAAATAGTAATGAAAACTTTTTTGTGTATGAACAGAAATGCTCAGAATGTTCTCTAAATTCTCAAAATGGAAATCCCCTAAACGTGTGAGGGTTCTTTAAAAGATGTATTGAAAAAATATATAACGCATGACGGATAACCCAACACCAGCACATTACTGTGCGCCGTGGCGGAGACTTCACTGTGCACAGCAGGGAAGGGACGGGCCTTGGATCTGGAAACCATGGGGTAGAATCCCATCACTGCTACTGACTCGGGTGACCCTCCTGCTTCCTTATCTCTTCAACAGGGCTGAGGAGCAACAACACCACAGGGCATTTTGAGAAGCAAGTGAGGTATATTGAAATCTGGCAAGTAGCAGGCTCTTCACTGGTATAGGAGTTCATTCCTTAAAATACTTTCAAATGTTAAGTCACAGTTGATAACCTTAAAATTTCAGCCAACTTTACTTGACTACATTGCCCCTTGCATAACTTTTTTAGTTTCAAAAGTTTTTGTTGTATTGTTTTAATTGGAAAAATAATTAACGTCCGTTGTAAAAAAAAAATTCTAAACATCAAAAATGATTTCAAAAGATAAAAATCACATGTATTCCAACCATGCAGACACCAACATGGGATTTTGGTAGCTATCTTCCCAGATATTGTAAGACACGCGTAGACACTCAGACTTCACAATGACACAATTATTCTCTGCATGATGCTTTTCTCATTTGCAATGTCTCATGAACATTTTTTTCATATTAGCTGTGTACTTCCTAGGAATCTGCAAAGGCCGCACAGGATTTCACAGTATGAATACACTATCTTTTGGGTAACTAATCTCTGCTGAATGATACTTTGGTTATTTCTAATTTTTCACTACTATGAACACCACTGAGATGAGTATCTATGTCCTGCCCACTTCCCCAGCTGAGTTTCCCAGCAGCGGCACTGATGAGAGATGGGTCTAGATAACCCGTTGTGGGGGGCTGTCCTAGGCAGTGTGGGGTGTTTAGCAGCAGCTACCTGTTAGGTGCCTCTGCCTGTTAGATACCAGTGGCAGCTCCCTAGTGACAACCAAAAATGTGTCCAGACATTGGGCAGCTGAGAACCAGTGCTTTAAGACCAACTCCTATGAAAATGCAAATCAAAACTACAATGAGGTATCACCTCACACCAGTCAGAATGGCCACCATTAAAAAGTAGACAAACAATAAATGCTGGAGAGGGTGTAGAGAAAAGGGAGCCCTCCTACACTGTTGCTGGGAATGTAGTCTGGAGCAGCCGTTATGGAAAACAGTATGGAGATTCCTTAAAATAAATTAAAATGGACTTCCTAAGAATAGACTTATTACCGTATGATCCAGCAATCCCACTCCTGGGCATATATCTGGAGGGAACTCTATTTGAAAAGATACATGCACCCAACGTTCATAGCGGTACTATTTACATCAGGCAAGACACAGAAACAATCTAAATGTCCATCGACAGATGACTGGATAAAGAAGTTGTGGTATATATATATATATATAACAGAATACTACCTAGTCATAAAAAGATGAAAATGACATTTGCTGCAATATGGATCAACCTGGAGACTGTCATTCTAGGTGAAGTAAGCTAAAAAGAAAAAGAAAAATACCATATGATATCACTTATATGTGGGATCTAAAGAAAAAGACATAAATGAACTTATTTCCAAAACAGAAACAGACGCATAGACACAGAAAACAACTTATGGTTACCAGGGGGGAAAGGGGATGGGGAGGGACAAACTGGGAGTTCAGGATTTGCAGATACTAACTACTGTATATAAAATAGATAAACAACAAATTTCTACTGTATAGCACAGAGAACTGTATTCAATACCTCGTAATAAACTACAATGAAAAATAATGTGAAAAGGAATATATGTACATACATGTCGGACTGAAACATTATGCTGTACACCAGAAATTGACACTACATCGTAAAGTGACTATACTTCAATTAAAGTAAAGAAAGAAAGAAGACAAGACCAGACCACCTCCAGGAAGGAAGGAAGAAAGGAAGAAAGACCAACTCCTATGAGTGGAATGAGCGAGTTCAGGGGATTACATCCTTCTCATTTTGTTACCCATTGCTAACAGGCCCTCCAGAGATTGACAGCTCTGGCCAACACTGAGGAGTATCCATTCTCCATTTCATTTTTGCCGGTGTGAAGGTGAATAGGGTCAGCCCACTGTTTTGTTTTGTTTTTTAAATTAGATTAATAGACTTGGCAGGGGTGGGGTGGTTAAAGTTTTTTTTTTTTTACATTTTTTATTGATTCATAATCATTTTACAGTGTTGTGTCAAATTCCAGTATAAACAGTTTTAAGCTTGCAGAAAAACTGAACAGAAAGTACAGGGAGTTCTCATCTACTCTCCTCACCCCTCACCCCCAGCTTCTACTGCTAGCATCTTGCATTGGTGTGGTACATTGGCTTCGACTGATGAGCTAATACTGATACATTATTATCAACTAATGGCTATAGTTCGCATTAGGGCTAACTCTTTGCGTAACGACATTTATCTACCATTATCATTTCATACATGTATCATTATCATACAGAATAGTTTCGCTGCCCTAAAAATTCCTGTGCTCCGCCTATTCATCCCTCCCTCCCCTCAACCCCTCACAACTACTGACCTTATGACTATCTCTAAAGTATCGCCTTTTCCAGAATGTCACATAGTTGGAATCATACAGTATGTAGCCGAGTAACATGCATTTAAGGTTCCACCATGACTTTTCATAGCTTGATAGCACGTTTCTTCTTAGCACTAAATAATATTCCACTGTCTGGATGTACCACATTTTATGTATCTATGCACCTGTCAAAGCACATGTTGGTTGCGTCTAACTTCTGACAAACTTGACCAAATAACTATAACCACTGTAACCAAATGACTACAAGGCCGCGCTATAAACACCCACATGCAGGTTTTTGTATGGACTGACATTTTCAGCTCAGTTTGATAAATAACTGGAATCGCAATGACTGGATCACATGGTGAGAGTATTTCACTTTGTCAGAAATGACCAAACTCTCTTCCAAGGTAGTGGTGCCATTCTGCATTCCTACCAGCAATGAAAGAGAGGAATGAGCGCTCCTGTTGCTCCACATCCTCGTCAGCATTTGGTATTATCAATGTTTTGGATTTCAGCCATTCTAATCAATGTGCCATGGTGTCTCAGTGTTCTAGGCTGCAATTCCCTGGTGACATGATGTTGAGCACCTTTTCAGATGCTTACTTGCCATCTGTGTATCTTCTTGGGTAAGGCATCTGTTAAGCTCTTCGACTCCTACTTAATTGCAGTTGTATTTTTTGTTGAATTTTAAGATTCTTCTGTGTATTTGGGATACCAGTCCTTTATCAGATAGGTGTTTTACAAATATTTTCTCCCCGTCTATGTCTCGTTTTTTTCATTCTCTTAACAGTATCTACTGAAGAGCAGACGTTTTCAATTTTAATGAAATCCAGCTTACTAATTTTTTCTTCCATGGATTGTGCTTTTTTTGTTTTATCTAAAAGGCAATCACCAAACCCAAGGTCACCTAGATTTCCTCCAATGTTATCTTCCAGGAGTTACAGTTGATAGTTTTGCATTTAACATTTAGGCCTCTGATCCATTTCAAGCTAATCTGTGTGGAAGGCATTAGGCCTATGTCTAGATTCACTGTTTAACTTCACCCTTGAAAAAAACTATTAGTGAGGTTGGGTACCTTCATCTTTTAACTGACATCTGTGTTCTCTCCTGAATGGCCTAAATATAACCAATCTTTAGGTCATGTTATTCATTCCAGCTATATTTCTTGTCTTTTAAAAGTCATTTTTTTTACCAATTTAATGAGTGTTAATTTACATACAATAAATTTTACCCATTTTAAGTGTACAGATGGATGTTTCCATAAATATACATTAGTAGCTGCAACTACCACATCCAAATTTTAAAATCCTTCCATCACCCCCCAAAAGCTCCCTTGTGCCCCTTGCAGTCAAACCCTGCCCATCCCCAGCCCCAGGCAACAACTGATCTGCTACCACCATAGTTTTGTCTTTTCTAGAATTTCACATGAATGGAATTAAACAGTTCAGTCTTTTGAACCTGGCTTCCTTCCCTCAGCATAATGCTGTTGAGATTAAGCCTTGTTATTGCATTTCCCAGCAGTTGCTCCTTTTTAATTGCTGAGTAGTACTCCACTGCAAGGATGTACCACATTTTATATCTCTGTTCACAAGTTTGTAGACATCTGCTCTGTGTCTGGTTTAAAGCCTTTATGAATAATGCTATGAACATTCATGGACAATCTCTGTGCTATGACCAGCTGCTTTAAAATATTTTGTCATACGAATTTTCAACCTGTAATATACAAGTATGTCCTATTTTAGTCCAAATTGTGTCAACTGATACCAAAAATGGTGATATGGGATATGGGACTCCCAACCTGTATTTCAAAGCACATTAGTCAGAAGTTACTGCCACACGTCCCATTGACCCCAGGATGGCCTAACATTCTAACTAAGGTCATGGGAAGCCAGGTGTAACTGAGACCCCCAGCCTGTCCCTGAAAGTGACCAAGCCAATATGCATCTAAAGTAACAAGACCAGGAAATGCACTTCACAGTGACATTTTTCAAGCTTTCCACTCTCAAACTGACATTTCTAGAAAAGACATTCTCAGCTTGAGTGCCAGGAGAAAAAGCCTGTGCATACTCCTTGGATCTGTGCCTGCCATTGGTATTTGAGATCTGCTAAACTCAAAGCCACCACTCTTTGAAGACTGCTGATACCCTTCTGGTTTTAGGAAGGAGGGTGGGGAGGAGCTGAAAACTAAACTTACAGCCAACAAAAGGACCTGTCCAGATAAAGAAACTCTTCCGTCACATATTCACTGGAGATTTCTACCAAAGCAGCACAGAAGAGGAACTGGAGACAAATTCCCACAACTCTCTCTTCAAAAGGGCCAGGCTGACAGAAAGGGATTCCCGGCAGACGTGTCAGCTGGTTTTCTGTGTGACCCCAACCCCAACTTTGCACCATGCTCCACCCCATCCCAACCCCCACCCCACCCCGAGCGGTTGCTTTTTTACGAGAATGGTGGGTGACGGCAATCAAAGCAGCGGTCGGGTGTTGATCACTCTTTCCCATCCCACCTCCACTCAGGAGGGCGGTAGTGCAGGTCCAGGCCTATGGCTGACCCTCACTCCACACCTATTGCTACCAGCATTATCATTTTGTAGATGAAGACACTGAAGCACAGAACGGTTAAGTGACTTGCCCAAGGTCACAAAGCTGGTAAGTAGCAGAGCTGAGATTCACATTCAGGCTCTTAAACACTATACAATGTCCCTAATTAAATAAATAGCACTAAAAATAAGTATTAGAGAAGGAAAGAGGCTGCTCTTTCTTGCCTCTTTCCCTGAATTGGCCATAAAAGGTGTCATTGAGATGGAGGACACTGGGGCATGCCCAAAGGGCCAAGGACTGTCAGAGGAGCATCTCAGGCTGGCAGAGAGAACAGATGTACAGAAACACGCAAAGGATCGAGACCTGGGATGTTTCTCTGGATCAGCCTCCCGTCTCCTGGCTTCCACTGTCCTCCGTAAAGCAAGGGGTGGACCATGATGGTTCAATCCATTATAGAACTTCATGCAAAGCTCTTAGCACATAATCCACAGTAAGTGTTAGCTATGTTATGACTACTGCTATTAAACTGTACTTGGTCCAGCCCATCCTGCCTGGAAGGAAAACCACATGGGGCCAAATGAGAATGAGGCTCACTCAGGCTGGGTCACGTGACGGCCTGGGAGCTGCTGAACACAGAGGCCTGGAGAGCAGCAGCTGCTTCTCCACTAGTGGTTAGCAAGCCATACTCCAACACAGGCCACCATCAGACTCCCTAATTCACTTCTTCAGATAAAACTAGCACAGATGAACTCTTCCCCAGCTAGTGGTGAGACACGGGGACTCAGCTGAGGTCTGAGACAGCAGACGTGGCCACAGACCTGTCCTACGGTTATGTCAATCCACCCAGTGTCTGGAAATGCTCAGCCGTCAACGCAGTCATTTTTCGTCCTATTCAAAGACATTATCCAGCTGAACTGGATTCGCCAGGTGTTCCTGCTGTTGTTTGCCTCCTGAACTCTCTTCCTAATCCCCCCTGTGATGAGATGATTGCTTGTAAGACAACTGGCAGTTGCAGCCCTTTAGAGTCTGGGCACATATGAAAAGATCACAAGCCTTGGACACGTGCCTCCAGATGACCAGGTAGCATTTGCGATGGAAGGGGCCTGTAAATGATCATTTAAGCGTAAATATGTACTTTTCATTCCTGAAAATGTGGAGATTCTGGCCTCTCCCCTCTCCACATTGTCTTTCACAGGCTTTTGCTACCTTCAGAGCGCAGACATGGTGGGGGGATCCAGAAAGGCTGTACTAAGGCCCCTCGATGTGCTACCCTGGGCTCACATCTGGGGGTCAGGGTC